TTCTTCCAGCTGGCTGTAGTTGGTCAGTCTGACCAGTTGTCTTGAGCTCCTCTGCTGAAACTGTCACACGGGTGGGTGTCTTATCTAATAGTTTCCCTTGTTTATTAAGAAGCGAGCACGTAAAGATCCGCTTTCCGCTTCCTCTGCCCTCTTCCCTGCTCATTTCCCTTCTTCCAGTCTCACTGAACTCTGGATGCTGACAGTGGCTCCTTGTTGCCCAGTCGTACTTTCTGGGTAACTTGGGCAGGCCCCTTCTCTTCTACATAGGCCCCGCCAAAGCTGACACCACAGCATGACTTTCTCCCTCTTTTTCTTCCCTAGCATGTCTGTGCTAGTATCACCCAGGGTCACATTTCCCTCTGTCTGGTGACAGCGTTGGCATCACTTCTTTGATGATCCTCTCACCAGCTTGTCCCTCTCCACAGGCATTGCCCTATTTTATTGGCGTCCTAGCTCTTAATCACGGTGAATGATCCTTGGTGTTTATTTGTTGCCTCTGCTTTCCTAGTAAATCTTTGAGATCAGAGTCTTGCATTGGTAGACTTGCTTTTAAATAGCAGAAGCCTCTTAGCAAAGATTACTTGCTTGGGAAAGATCAAGTCTCAAAACCCAAAGTGTGGCTTCTCCTGAACACTTAACAGTTGTGAGTCCTCGTAAGATGGAAAAATAAGTTAGACCAACATCAATTGGGACCATTTTTAATTCTTACCATGATTAACAGCTGACAGTGACTTTGTTCCTGTTTCTCTGAGTCTTAGTTGGAAAAAGAGGCAAAAGTGGCATTAATGATCAAACAGGTGTAATTGTTTCTCCAGAGTCTTAGAATGACTAGGAAGTACACTGAAAAGACAGTGCCAAGCTTGAGCTTTGCAGAGTGGGAGAGAGAAGCAGTCTCAACTGAAAGAAGAATGTTCTTTCAGGAGGAAAACAACATGAAAGGCCTCACCATGTTCCAGAAACTTGACACGGGTGTGGGGGGTTGTCATATCGTTTGAGCAGAGTGCTCTGTGTATGACTATTCTGTGACTTAATCTAAAATGTATCCCAGTTTGAATTCGGAGAAACATCTAAGCCAAGTATGTTACTATTAAGTGTGTGGTGGTTAGTTTCAATTTTCAACTAGGGAAAACCTACAGTCACGTAACAGACAGGTTTCTAGATATGCCTGTTGGGGACTATCTTGATTATGTTAATTAAAACAAGAATACCCACCCTCTATGGATGGTCCCATCCCCAAGCAGAGGATCCTGGACTGGGTAAGAGTTTAAAGAGAGCTGATCACTAGCATGCTTGTATTCATTACTTTCTTCTTGTGACCGTGTCCATGTGACCAGCTGTTTCAAGCTCCAGATGCTCTGACTCCCCACATCATGACTGGACCCTGGAACTGTAAACGAAAATCAAGCCTTTTTCCTCAGGTGCTTTTGTTAGAATTGCTTTATCATAGCAACAGAAAAATTGTATCTAGCTTGCTTTTTTTCTTGCCATGAAATGCTTATGGGAAATGCAATTACTTTTGAGTAAGATGCTTTACTTTAAATCAGTAGTCCATACACGTGCTTGGTGATAACGAAGTCATATTCATATAGCAAACAACTGATCTGTACTTATAAATTCTGTTTCCATGGATTTGCCTACTCATTATAGGCACTTTTAATCCCAGAATACTCATGTCATTCCCAGGATTTGAGTACATGCAAGATGGTAACAAACAAAAACAAAAAACAAAATTGACTTACAGGGCTGAAGAGATGGCTCAGCGGTGACTAAGAACACAGGCTACTCTTTTAGAGGACCCAGAATTGATTGCCAACACCTATGTGGGTGCTCACAACCATTTATAGCTCCAATGTTGAGGGTCTGACATCTTCTTCTGGCCTCTATGGGCATAAGGCACAGGCATACAGGCTATCAAAACACCCATACAAATAAAATAATTAATTTTAAAAATTGTCTTACCTGTCACTCTGATTTCTAAGCTGCTATTGGCTTTCCTGTCTGTTCTCATGGAACAAGTGCTCTTTTCGTGTTCTGTGCAAAACCTTATGGCCCCTAACAGAGTTCTGTATGCTGCCTACTGCCCTTAAGCACAAAAGACTGGGATATGCCTTACAGAAAATATGTGTAGACAGAATAAGTTTCTGTGAAGACAAACTTATACGTGTGTTAACCAAGGCTTCAGTGTTAGTCATCAATATATATTAAATCAAGTGTGGTTAAACAGGACTGCACATAGCTGACTGTGCTTATGTATGCCACCACTCAGGGGCCTGAGGAAGAAGGATGGCATTGAGTTCCATCAGCAGGAAAGAGAAGAGGGAAGCGGCAAAGGAAAGGAAGGCACGTACATACGACAAGATTATACATTGATCATTTGATGAAAACATGACCAGAGATTCACAGGAACTTAATTCTGTATTTTCCTTAGGAACAGTATTTGTCACAAATGGTGAAGTAATGACAGTATGTACATGGGAATACATAGTTAAAATGTTGCTGAATTGAATCTGAGAATTTAGTGTATTAAAACAGAAAAGCTATTTCTCACAGTGTTTTAATTTGACACTTAAGCTGGGTTGGCTCAACCGTTAAATTGACTGGACATGGCTAAGCCAACTCACATAGTTGTGGTCAGTTGGTGATCTGTGGCCTCCCTTCCATGTCTAATGCTTTGGCTCTGCTGTTCTCACCATCCGGCAGGCAAGAGGGCCAGCCTCCAGAGTGCCAGCTGGTTTTGTGTTTTATGTACTTTGTCCTACTGTTACTCAGAAACTGCATAGGTGCTGCTTTCCATGAACACTGTCAGAAAAGTAAGTACTTCAGAAAGATGAGGCAGTCGCACAACCAGTGACAGGTAGGGGCGTTGACCCATGTCTGTGTGATGGCAGGGTGGCTATTCTTTCTCTACTAGTTTGCTTTCTGATAGGCAAACAACTAGTTTGTCTTGTAGGGCTGAGGAACAGCAGTAAGATAGGCTCTGTCAATTCAGGGAAGAAGCAACTGCCGTTGTTTGTCTTGGAAAAACTGCCCTGTGGGCAGCCTTCCTGTATGACAAATTTAAGAAAATTTTAACAATGGTGAATTGTGAGTGTGTGGTGCTTGATTATAAACTCGATTCACACCAAGGGTTATATTCTGGATATGGGATCTTAGTTGTAGCAACATTTATTCTGAAATACTTAAAGGAAGATGATTGAAATATTAGAGATACTGACATCGTCTGAAGAGATCTACTTATATTTATTTCTTGTAAAAAAAATCCACTGTATTACCATAGCTGGACCTATTATGCTATTGTAATCCAAGTTGAACGGAGAAGGGTGATTAACGATAGCAATTTATTGTATCTGAGGAGGAAAGAAAATAGGAGATGTTGTCGTTATCATAAATCATATCATAAATAACCAAAAAGAAGCACTCGGAATGCTTGTGTGGTGTCAGCAGCCAGCCCTTTCAGGCCCGTTAGCCAGGATGTAGCCATAGAAACCCCAAAGTCATATTGTTATCTTAGTCTTGCTGCAGTTATGTGATACAACAGTATTAACATATAGATTAGGCCATTTATAATGCTAGGTGTCATTTCAGGTTGGCTTGCTTATATCGCATTTTAGTTTTTTATTGTGCAGAATGTTAGTGGAATGAGGCTTTTTTACAGGTCAGTGTGTGTAGGTATTTAGAACACATCTTCACTACTGCTAATTTATCGTGTCATTGATTGACTGTGCTCTATAAATTGTCATTGCCTAATTGTCTTTGCTAGTATTTTTAAGTAAGTAGGTTTTTAAAAAAATATATACAAGCTCATTTATACACATTGTTTTAAGGATTCTGATTTTGGTTATAGACAGGACAGTTTAAAATATTATATGCCATGGTATAGATGTAATTAAAATTTTTTTAACCTCAGACTAAAGGTTAGAATGTTGAAATAAGTTTCAGTTGGTTTGACTGTCACTGCACCTCCTTTTTTTCCAGGCACTCACTGTCCATCTCCCTCTTACTTACTGGTCATCTGTCCGGGCCCCCCTTCCCCCGAACCCAGCTTTCTTAGCAGTACCCTGTGTTCAGACCCGTCGAGCCCTCACCATTCCATCAGATTGTTTCAGTTATGTGCCATCTTCTCAATCTTTTTGACCCTAAAAGTAGGCTCTCTTCTTTTGTTAGCTTCACTGTCATAAGAATATTTGACAGCAGCATTTTAAAGATGCAGCCTTTATCCAAAGACATAATGAAGTGGCTAGAGATATATGTGGGTAGCATTTTATTGTCCTTTTAGTTAAAGTTTAAAAATAGAAGTGTGTTTTCTGCCTGGTTTGAGAACACGCCACTGAAGTTAAAGTGGCATGCATCTGTGTAGTTAATGAGATAAAAAGCTTTCATGCCATGTGCAAACAATTTCCTCTTTTTCCTAATGTGTACTAGCTTTTTAGATTACAGTGTTTCTTTAAAGGCATTTACTGTTCTAGTTAAAACGATATTTTGTTCTAAGTCAATATTTATCATAGCTTAGAATTAACATCCTCAAATCCTTGCGGTGTGTTCAGACCTTATTGCCTTGTTTTGTTTTTGTTTGAGAAGTTTGCTAAGGAAGCATGTTTTTTTCATTATTCCTCAGAGAAATGTAGGGAGTGTGGATTATTTATGCTGTCAATGAAGAAAAGTCACAGTGAAGTTTTACTGTCCTGCCCCCATCAACATTTGTGATTTTAAAAAGATGGACATTGCTGCTGATTGTATTTTTTTCATTTTGTGTGATTTAAGAGATTTTTGTCCTCAGTCATCCATATTGTTTCCTACTATTTTCTTTTTCACTGCTGCTGCAGAAGCATTCCAGATGTGTCTGTCATCTTTCCATCACTGTAGCAAATGCCAAGGTGATGGACATATAAAGAGAAGCTTTTTGTGGCTCACGATTTTAGAGGTTTCTCTTGATTGGTTGACTCTTGCTTTCAGTCTTTGCACAGCAATACATCATGGTGGGAGCACACAGAAAAACAAACCTGCTGACGTCATGACCCAGGAAACAAAAGCAGAAAATAAAGAGAGACCAGAATCCACATTCCCTTTATAGGGGGTACCCTTCCATGATTTAAAGACCTTCCAATAGGCCCCATTTCTGACCCTCCTCCCTCCACCTCACAAATGCTAGAATTACAGGTGTGTAATTCTAAAGATAGAATGTTGAAATGGAGTACAGTTGGCTTGACTGTCATTGCACCTTTTTTCCCAGGCACCCACTGTCCGTTGCTGGTTCATGCATCGCTGGGGATCCAATTCAGGTTTCATGTATTCTAAGAAAGAATTCTACCAACAGAGCTGCATCTCCAGCCCACTAATAAATACTCTAAGACTTTCATTCCCTTGGAAACTATCCTAAATGATCTTTCTGGTTCTTCACAGGTTTACCTCCTAGTAATTTAGCACATTTGAAATCTGTCCAGACATTTTCATAAGTAAAGGGAGGGAAGGCACTGTTTAGATGCTCCGAACATTGAAGGTCTGGCACAGCAAACCTTTATTTGAAGGACCAGGAAGGAAATACTCTTGGCTGTCTTTGTTGTGTGTGTAACCAGAATATAGTTGAACCCAAAAGCGATGTACTCAGAAGTTGAGATAAGAAGGAAAGTGGGCCCCCCCAAAGAAGAAAAAAAATGGTCTGAAAAGACTCCCATGTTCCCATGTTTACTGGAGAGATGACAGTGACTTTGTCAAGTGTAGCAATAATTATGTTGAAATTGTGTGTTTTTATAGATTATAGAGTATTTTCACTGTATTGCCTTACCCATTCACCCCTGAATGCTTTTGTAGCCTGACTTGCCTTCATTCTCACTGACTTCTTGACAAGCATTGACTGTATTCACTGGACTTCCTTTTGTTAAAACAAAAACCTTTAAATGTTTTTTCACTTGGGGTTTTTGTTTGTTTTTGTTTTTTGAGACAGGATTTCTCTGTGTAACAGTTTTGGCTGTCCTGGAACTCACTCTGTAGACCAGGCCAGCCTCAAATGCACAGAGATCCGCCTGTCTCTGCCTCCTGATTGCTGGGATTACAGGTGTGCACCGTCACCACTTGACTCGTTTGTTTATGTGTGTGTGTGCACCACAGTATGCATGTGGAGATCAGAGGATGACCTGTGACGTGAGTTCTCTCCTTCCATCATGTGGACCCCAAGACTCTAGCTCACATCGGTCTCGATGGCAAGGACCTTTACCCACTGAGCTCTGTCTCTTGCCCTAAACTTTCTTTTCAGAATTTCTTGATGCTTTGAGCTCTTTGACACCCGATCATCCATGTATTTCATTGTTCCTTTTGTCTTCACATAGAGGCAGTCCTCAAAATTCTGAATCAGCCCTTCATATTTTATCCCACTCATCCATTATTTTTTTAGTTATCAACAAAAGCATCTCGCATCTAGGTCTGGGTTTTGGAACTTCAGTGTACTTTTATTTGCTCAGTCAACACTGCTGGCTAAAGGTTCCCCAAGACTTCATTCTTCTTTCTGATAATGATGGAATGATGACACTGATTATTCCATGAAGCCTTGAATTTGTGTTTGAACCCTTCAGCTTATACCTGAGCCTGCAGCAGTCTGTTCACTGTATTAAGAATTCATTTATCTCTCCTGCTTCCTATTTGCTTACTTTTTTCTAGTCTACTCTCTTCTTCCATCTTAACTACATATGTCCTCTTCTTTTTGTGTCTGTCTCTCTGCAATCTATTCATCATATATAATCTTACACATATTCCAGTCTGTACTAGCAGATGTCTTCTGACTTCTGTGACGTGAATACAACTTTGCTCAACGTTCTTTTGTTCCCATTTTACTTCTCACTTTCCAGACACATTATTCCATGACTCTTATGTACTTCCAGTGTCTTAAGTCCTCCTCTTTGCCAACTAACTGTTCTTCCTGGACTGGTACTCCTAGCAATGTTCCGTTCACTGTATTATTCTTGAAGTCTTCCCTGTTGACAGCAAGTTGCCCTCTTCTGCTTTGAAATCCTATAGCACTTTGTCTGTAGTACTAATTACTTTCCTATATGCTATACATATGTACTGCTTTAGACCCTAAAGTTTGCCTTTATCATCATGTTTTATATACTTAATTAATATGCACAAAAATATATAATCTGATCTTATAAGAACTCAACTCAGGCAAATAGGCAGGGCAAGTGCATCAGCTCCTTCTGAAAGCCAGGAGACAGGCTCAAGGAGGTTGAAATTGCCTAAGACCCCTCACTCCGTAGGGCCAGAACTCTAGCTAAAGCAAAGTTTCAGATGTCTGAGCCATATGGGTTACATTGCACCTTGCCGCCCTCCAAGGAGTGTACCTATGATGAGAGTTGTGTACAAAGAACTAACATTTATTACAGGTGTTTTTTTTTCTTTTTTTTACAAAAGACTGGGAAGAAGTCTTAGTAAAATGCTTCCCACAAAAGTATAAGGACCTGAATGCAATCTACGATAACCCATGTCTTCCTGGATGTGTAATATCCATATTTGGTTAGAGACACTGTCTCAGAGAGTAGTGTGGAAAGCAACTGACAGAGGCACCTGTGTCAACCTCTGACCTCCACAAACAAGTATGCACATATAAAGATGCATGCACACACAGGTCTTTTAAGAGTATGCCTTTCCATCATTTCTGAGATTAGCAGTCATGAAAACTGATCTCTGTTTTTGAGGGGCATGGGGGTATTGGAGAAAGCATGAGAAGACTGTAGAAATAGTCAGTATTCTGTCAGATTAGGAAATGAATTTAGGAAGCTGGTCTTCCGTTGCTACTTTTAAAAGAACAATAAGCCCAGGGTGGGAAGACCCAGGAGCACTCCCTGTAGACTCCATTTCTTCGGTCAAAGAAGTAGTGTTGGTTACTCTCTGCTCCATTCTAATAATGCCCCTTTCTTCTATTACCAGAGGAAGAAGAGGAGCAGGTGCCCACTGATGGGGGCACATCAGCAGAAGCCATGCAAGTGCCCTTGGAAGAAGATGATGAAATGGAGGAGGAGGAAGTCATCAATGATGAGAATTTCTTGGGTAAGAGGCCACTGGACAGTCCTGAGGTGGAAGAAATGCCCACCATGAAGCGCCCACGACTCCTGAGCACCAAAGGGGATTCCCTGGATGTTCTGTTGGAAGCACGAGAACCTCTCAGTTCAATAAATCCACAGAAGATCCCACCAATGCTTTCTCCTGTGCATGTCCAGGATAGTACAGATCTAGCTCCTCCATCACCAGAGCCCCCAATGCTGGCTCCATTTGCAAAGTCACAACTACCAACTGCAAAGCCATTAGAAACAAAGTCATTTACACCAAAAACAAAGACTAAAGCTAGCTCTCCAGGACAGAAGACTAAATCTCCCAAAACTACCCTATCACCAGCACGGCTTGGAAGTCCTATTCGGTCACCAAAAACCATCCCCAAAGAAAAGAAATCACCTGGACGTTCTAAGAGCCCCAAGAGTCCTAAGAGCCCCAAGATTATAACTCCTGCACCCCAACCCCCTGCCAGACCTGAAACGCCAAATAGAACCCCTTCAGCTATGGTGGTTGAAAAAACTGTTAAAGAAACCCTCCCTATAAAGCCAACACAGACTCCCCCAGAAATTGGTAAACTGAACATGGAAATGCAGCCGAAGAAGGCTGTGGTGACAGACAAAACCATCGATGATTCCATCGATGCTGTGATTGCACGCGCCTGTGCAGAGCGGGAGCCAGATCCTTTTGAGTTTTCTTCTGGATCGGAATCTGAAGTAGACACTTTTACAAGTCCTAAGAGGATTTCAGGTTCAGAGTGCACCACTCCAAAAGCTTCCACTTCTTCCAATAACTTCACCAAGTCTGGGTCTACTCCTCTGCCTCTTTCTGGCGGAACTTCAAGTTCCGATAACTCATGGACAATGGATGCCTCAATTGATGAGGTGGTACGGAAGGCAAAACTAGGAGCCCCTTCTAACATGCCTCCCGCCTTCCCGTATATCTCTTCTCCCTCCATTTCTCCTCCCACTCCCGAACCTCTGCACAAGGGTTATGAGGAGAAAGCCAAGCTACCTTCATCTGTAGATGTAAAGAAGAAGTTGAAAAAAGAACTGAAGACTAAGTTGAAAAAGAAAGAGAAACAAAAAGATAGGGAGAGGGAAAAGGAGAGAAACAAAGAAAGAAGCAAAGAGAAGGATAAAATGAGAGAGAGGGAGAAGGAAAAGGAAGCTGCCAAGGAGATCAAGTACCCATGGAAGGAGTTTATGAAAGATGAAGATTCCGATCCTTATAAGTTTAAAGTCAGAGAATTTGAAGACATTGATCCGAAAGTGCGATTGAAAGATGGAATTGTGAGGAAGGAAAAAGAGAAGCATAAGGATAAGAAGAAAGACCGAGAACGAGGCAAACGAGATAAAGAGAAGAGAGAAAGGGAAAAGCTTAAAGAAAGAAGCAGAGAAGACAAGATAAAGGCCCCTCCAATGCAACTGGTGTTACCCCCTAAAGAAATGGCACTGCCTTTGTTCAGCCCTTCCGCTGCAGTGAGGGTCCCACCGTCCATGCTGCCTGCCTTGTCACCAATGCTCCCAGAAAAGCTGTTTGAGGAAAAGGAGAAACCCAAGGAGAAAGAAAGAAAAAAGGACAAAAAGGAAAAGAAGAAGAAGAAAGAGAAGGAGAAGGAAAAGGAGAAGAAAGAGAGGGAGAGGGAGAAAGAGAAAAGGGAGAGAGAGAAGAGAGAGAAAGAGAAGGAGAAACACAAGCATGAAAAAGTAAGCTGGCTATCATTTTTGGCACTGTCTGAACAAGGTCCTAGTGCAAAATGCAGGTAAACTAAGCCAGGAGTTGTATCTGTGGTTTGGCTATAAATTCAGGGGCAGTTAAGTGACATTTTATTTATAATTCTATCACAAAGATCATTAATTTTGTAACTAAGCCCCACACACATCAGATGCTAAAAATCTAAGAATCTAATCACAAGTTACAAACTACATATTTACTAAACTGATCTCTAGCAGTTAAAACACACACATACGCAC